TATTCGAAGGTGAACAAACATCTGTCATGCTCAAGATTGTGCACCCCAAAGTGGCTCATAGTTAGCCTTCTTTAGTGGTGGAACTGAAGTAAATGATAAAGGAATGAACAAAATATATAGAGAAAGAAGGACCATGATAATGTGTGACGAAAATATATGGGATTCAGCCGATGGCACCGGCGGGGCCCAAAAAGAGCCCGGCAGTCGTTGAAGGAACAGGAGGTTACGTCCGAAAGCCCCCCCAAAAAAGACAGCCCGTTAACTACCCGGCGGGGGCTCCATTGGGAAACCTAAGCGTTACCTGTGCTCTCCACTTTGTTGACATCGTACAGGTCGATGGCGGAGTCCAGTGTGTGGTACAGCCGGTTCAGCAGGTCCACCAGCCGGTGGGCGGACAGAACGGCCGAGATGTCAGCAAAGCCGACCACATCCGAGAACATGACTGTAGCCTGCAAGAAAGGACAAAAGGAAAGATTAGTAAATATTCTAATAAGCACACACACAAATATACACACCATACACACACACAAACATACACATACAAACGCACAAAGTCGATCATTGCTTGATACAACAAATCGGTGGATGCTCTGGATAAAATCCTATTCCTCACTTGTTTGAAATGCCGTGCTGACACCGCGTTGTTTTTCTTCATGCATTCAGCGACGCTTTTCGGGAAGATCTGGTACAGGATTCCGTCAGCCTTGTGCCGTTCCAGCTCCACCTTCTGCAGCCGACAGGCGATCGCCTGGGTGTCGGACGCCATCTTGTGAACCCCGTATGTGATGAGGGGACTCACGACAATCACCAAGATCAAGGTCACGATGTAGAAACTCAGTTGCACGTCGAGTTCTTGGACCCTGTTCTCCATCTTGTTCATGATCTTCTTGGACAGGTGTTCGTCAAGTCGCCGAAGAATGCTGATGTAAGACGTCATGTTGTCGAACCAGTGCAGCCCCATGTGCACGTTGCGGGCTCTGGCGGCGTCATTGGTGTGGATCTCCCGCCGCATCTTCAGGATGCCCTTCTCCAAGGTCGTGTTGACGTATTCGTTGCCGAAGATGGCGGCGACGTCGACCGCGTAGCTCAACGCCAGGTCCAGACATGTCTGTCCGAAGTACCTGACCTTGTTGTAGTACATACTGTCGTCGTCAGTCAGACCTCCTAGAGTTACAGACAAGAAAAATACTTTCGCCACAGATTTGTTGCAAATCATTTATGGAAATCTATTTCATACAACAAACTTGTTTTAAATGACAAATGAAATCAAGAGATAGGCATGCCTCTTGCCCCAACAAGTTTGAACTATAACTTCTAACACAAAAAGATGAACGCACCATAATTTTTGACTGGCCACCTCCAGTCTTTGTCAAATAATGAGCAATTCGTGGCATCATAGTAGAGGTGCGTTGCTCATTCCTTCACCAAGACAGGAGTCCGTGTTTTTTTGTATTGCATATTTGCAGTTCAACTTTTCCCTACCAACACAGATATATACTTTCGAGTAAAAGACTCTACCTCTTGCGTAGAAGACACTCCCGAGTGCCCTCTCCAGACCCGTGTACTCCTCGCTCATCACGATCATGTGGTACGCCACCACGTTGGTCCAGACCTGGGTGGTGTCGGCTTGTCGCACAGTCATACCCAGACGTGAGATGAAGAACGCGTTGATGTCCGTGTAAAACCTGGGCAAGGATCGGTAGAGATGGCATGTTTGGTCACTACAGTGGCAACGAGAGCTCATTCATTCCTTCATTCATTCCTTCATTCATTCCTTCATTCATTCCTTCATTCCTTCATTCATTCATTCATTCATTCATTCATTCATTCCTTCATTCATTCATTCATTCATTCATTCATTCATTCATTCATTCATTCATTCATCCATTCATTCGGTGGGGACTTCATATTGGCCGCCTGTATCCAACGTATCCAATAAAGTCCCTTAGCTTGCCCCACCGAATCTGCTTGGAGTCTAGCTATGGACATCATTCGTCAGACTGACGGACGAACATCATGGATGAATAAGCTCTCCTTGAGAGCTCTCGCTCGAGTTGTTCCTGTGAAGAAATCTAATTGTGCACCTCTTCCGTCATCCATGACGTGACAGACAAATAAGATTAACCAACCGTAGTAGTGTACTCACTTGAGCTGTTCCTCTAACGACGTGTGATTGACGGAGAGACTGGCTCTGTGTGCCCGGATGTAGGAGCGCAGGTTGCCCAGACTCTGGAACTCCCATGGATAGTCAGGCATCTGCGGCCACAGGTACTGCCGGAGCGCCGCCATGGCCGCGTCAGTGTTCCCATACAGCTGGAAACATAACAGTATACTGCAATTGATGGCAACCGCATCCTTTTATTATCTTAATTCAATCGCCAACGCGTACCAAGCGCCGAAGGCCGCTTCAAGGTTACCGGGGAAAATGAATCTACTGAAACAGCATCTCTTCCAGCCGGCCGTCTCTTCTCCCTATAGTACTGGCAGAATATCAACGCCCGAATCAATAAGCGTTTGGATTAACTTAGCCATACGGAAAATAGGGTTTACAAAGACTGCTTTTGCTTTGAAACACTCCCTAGTCCATTTAGAATCGGTTTTGATCCTCTCACACCAGGATGGGCTACTTTCTGTTCAGTTTGGAGGGCTCTTTGATGTGTTCGGAGTGTACTCTAGGGATTAGACTCAATTGACCTCAGTTATGTCAGGAAATTTGTGTTGAGTGTCTTCCTGAATTAGAAGGGCAAAAACATAGGGGCCTGTCAGGGGTGTGAACCCTAAACCTCTAGATCGCACGTCAAATACACGTACCTGTCCGTTCATCGCGTCCGACTAACCTCTTCCAAACTCATATCATCGAACAAAATCGGTTGCTAGTTCGCCTAAAGCACACCATCTAGCATGTCAAACCCTGCGATTTCACGTAGGAAGGTCTCGGTTGTTTCTAACAAGTTGTTTTCATACTAAAGATTGTTGTTTCTAACAAGTTGTTTTCATACTAAAGATTGTGGCAGTTCAGAAATGAAATGATCCACACGGCGGACCATTGCGGTGCCATTAAACAGTAAGTGGCGGTCGCATCACATTTCATTCTGTCGCCGCGTGGGCGGGCCGTCCAAAGCTAAAGTGGTTAGACTCATTTCGAACATGGGTTTTAAATTCGGAAGGGGGTCTAGATTTCCATTTCGTGCTTAACATGCAGCTTTTGAATAATGAAAACATTCTTTTTATATCTATTTAGATCAAACTGATCAGGGTTATTTATGTACCCACGTACTAGCGTGCAAGCCCTTGTTGTTGAATAAATATTCAACACTATTTTTTTGTTTGTTTAGAACGAAAGAAGAAGATGAAACGAACCTAAGCTAGATAACATATGGTGGATATAGAAACAGAAGTTGGTACGAGTATTTGGCTTCGGGCTGCGTCTTTATAAATATGTCGCCGCGTGAGCTGACCCAATTTAACCTGGGAAAATGAAAAACAACGTGATCCCTGCGGCACAGTCTGCTTGTTAGGCGGCGAACAACGTAGTAAGCCCATCTAGCTAAAATCCGCTGATAAATCAAAATGCTTCGATGATAATTACACACGGTTCTTAATGCCCGTATCAAAAGGGTAGCCGGGACAGTGGGTGGAATATTTGATCCCAGCCGAGTCATGCTATATATTCTGATAGTGACCATAATGTTACTACTTTTTTGCTTAGGGTTCAACAGTTTGGAAACTGTATGGAAGTTGAACACACAAACACCACTACCAATGAACTAGCCCACTGCTGTAGGAATTTCCCAACGTTCACATGGAAACGGCCGCCGCCCTATGTGCCATGTATGGTGCCGCATGAAGTTTTAACAGACATGTACGTCTAAAGTCGGGTATTTACGTTGTACTTCAAGCTAATACAGCGAAACAATCAATTTGCACTTTAGATGCGACTGAAGTGGATATAGCTGACACCAACATACGTCTAACTTACGTTCATAATCTCCATGTAAACAAGCCGGATATCCAAGTGTAATCGTATCAGTACTAATTCAAAAATATTCCATAGGAAGACAAATTAACATCACTGCGTGAAAAGTGGGATTTCCAACTATGATAGTCTGGTACTGAAAGTTGCTTAAAGTGATGATTATAACGGCGCCAGTATAGATTTCCTGCGTGCACAAATCGCATTGTTGGTAAATGGTTATGTGAATTGATCCGCACATTTCCTTACTATGAGTAAGGCTGAGTGTCAGCCGTATTACCTTTCGTCTGCTCCCCACGATCCGCTACCGGGCCGAAAGCTTAAAGGCTGACTCTCTACGCATATCTAACTGCTGGTGATCCCAAGTAAGTCTAATAACGGTTACCTAAATCACCAAAGGTCAAACGCAGCCATTACCAGATTACCTGACATTTATCGTCAGTATTGTTGATAACTACCACTTTTCATGCAGCCGTGTAACATTTGTTTAACTTTGTGCGCGTGTGTGCATGTGCGTGTCTGTGTGTGTGTCTGTGTCTGTGTTACTCTCCAAGCAGAGGTTTGGGTTTTGGGGTATTTTTAGTGGGTTTGGTGGGGAAAAAATTCAGTGCAAAAGAGAAACCCCGATAAAAAGCCTAAAAACACGCTAAAAATACCCCCAAAACCCAAACCTCTGCATGGAGAGTATGTGTGTGTGTGTAGTGTGTGTGTGTGTGTGTGTGTGTGTGTGTGTGTGTGTGTGTGTGTGTGTGTGTGTGTGTGTGTGTCTGTGTGTGTCTGTGTTTCCGCATATTTGTTGTTCGTGAGCATAGCTTCAGAAGGCCTGAATTGATTGTGCTGTTATTTGGTATGTGGGTAGGTCTTGGGAAGACAAAGTTCAAGATCAATTATGGGCCTCCTGGTGGCTGACCTTGGTACTGCATCAGAACTTCCAATTTTACTATCTTTTGTCCCGCACAAGCTATTATCAAAGAATCTTTTGTTCTCTTCGTTTTACAATCAGCATAACCGATAAAATAGGTGTGGCGCCGGCAAATTATCATCAGTATACATCTTATTCACACCGCCAAACACCAGGTTTTAGGTGTCCTTGTTAATTCTAGAACATGTATCAACCGAATTCCTGTTAATCTTAACACGATACTCGTAACAGTTAACAATATATATGTTGCATGTTTTGGGACGCCGGCTCCCATCGTCATCGCCATCATCATCAATCTTCCTCTTCCCGTTAAACACCCGGTTTTAGCGGAAATCATGGCAAACACGCACTGACCTCATATCACCGATCTATACATCTATCATCACAAATCAATAAAGCATCACAAAGCACCCGATTAGCCCGTGCATGGAGTACTATATACAACATGTCAATGGGGAAACCGTACTTGCTCATTAATCGCTCTGTGATGAGAATGCATGTTGTCATGCAAGCTGCGCACCCGGAACGCTGTTGTCACATCTCGTTATCTCAACACGCCTTAGATATAAGCTACGGGGTTTCTACACAGAAGGTAACGTCTCAGTATACGTTGAGTAAATGTGAAAATCACATAATTGTTATAACATGTGACTGAATATATTCACTTCGAGCTGTATGTGTATGTCGCAAATATTGAGTCTCCATCAATTATCAATGGCTTAGTACATCCTCTATGTGTGCTAATTAGAAATGCAAAGACTTACTGTCTCTCTCTCTCACTCACTGATATGGTATTTTCTTTTCGAAACCTTTTCAACACTTGTATGGGAGAGAATATCTGCTCTCTACATGAGTAATTTTAGTATTGTGGTTAGGGTTCTTGACTGCAGGATTTAATCCCTGCCAGGCAATGCTGCATCCTTGGAAAATAAACCTTGACACATAATCCCTCACTCAAGCTCATTGATGATCACAAAACACTTACATGTATTGGAAAGAGAAACGGATTCATCCCCATAAAATTTGGTCTAATTTCCTACGTTTACAAACAAATAAAAAGTGCTCTTCTCTGAACATCACAGAACACACCCACTACAAACAAGCGGACCGGGGCTTCGCCGCTTTGAAAAAAGAAGAAACGATCTCTGGACGAGTGTCCTATAATGATCGGAGAGTATTGATGCGAGGAATGACGTCCGAGAAACACAGCATCAAAAGAAGCCCGTCACGTTTCTTCATGTATGACTAATTATAATATTCGCTAAGTGGGTTCATTTTTTTTCGTTAGCGCTTGTCTGGATGTTGTATATCAAACTTTACTGATGTATTAGAAGCTTTTGATGGATTGTCATTAAATTTCATATGAGAATCAGAGATTAAGTCTTGTTTAGACAAAGACTTTTTGGCCCCTGATGACTTTTATATATACCGCAGTAGCATCGTCCTAATCTCATCTGGACACCTCTTAGGTTGTAGCTCTTGTGCTCGGGAAAAAGTGGCGTAGGTTTGGGCTTTTAGCAGCTTCTTTCGAAACTGGGACGTTTTAGTAGCATATCTAAAAACAATGAGTTTTTTAATGACTTGTTGGCTGCTTAGGGGTGGATTTATTTCTAGATTTGCAAACGGAGAAACTTTCGCAGTGGTTTGATTTTTTGCGGTTTTCGTGGTGTACAATCCACCGCGAATTCATGACAACACGAACATGCCTTGCTTGTATGACTGCTTTACTATAGCATTGTTTCCACCTCTAATTCAATACTCATTTTTCCTTCTACCGCGAACTATATAACCACCGCGAAATAAATGCATTTACAGTAGCTGGTTTCTCACCTTTGGAAACCGTTCATACACCAGCGGATCGCCGCCCGAGCCCACGTACAGCGCCGTGGTGCCTCTCTCCACCGCCACGTTCACCACCACCTTCCCCTGCTGCGTGCTCAGGAAGATGTCAGTAGAGACCGCCTCCCCGGTGTCTCTCTGCTGCTTGGCATCCCGGAGGTTGAGGGTGCTCTGGACGACCATCCCCACCACAGGAATCGCCACCAGGACGAGCATGCAGAACATTCTCAGGCTCAACCGCCGCCGGGACAGAGCTCGGGCCTCGTCCTCCGTCTGGTCTTCCATCTCCCCACCAACTGACGAAGATTCGCTCACCCAGCCCTGTTTGCGGTAAGGACGCCTGGAGCGGCTGTCTGACGCAGCTGCCCGCATGTCGTGCGCGCACAACACTCGGCCGTCTTTACGTCTGAAAGAAGACCATGCTGCACCGCGGAGCTATGGATGTTATTTCCGCTAAGCGGAAGGATTAGGCATGTTGTAAAGCTGAATAACACGATCCCTGATTGAGGTCACTGCGCATTGCGCCTCGCGCTATATGAAGGTCAACCAAACAATCAATGAGCATTTTTGAAACAGGTTTGAACAGTATCATGCATGAACGTTCTTCTGTGTTGGTTGTAATCATAGTAAAATGTAATTAACAACACAAAAGTTGGACCTCACGCTTCAGGCTCCACGCTTGTGTGGCGTCACGTTATGCAGACAGAACATACAAAAGCGGCAAGTTGCCCATTCCTTGACAAAGACTTGGGTTGAAAAGTCAAAAATTTTGGTGTAAGTCATTTTTTGTGTTGGAAATTACAGTTCAAACCTTGAGAGTGTCAGCAGGACGCAGGTTGAACTTTGAAGCTAATGAGCATTTTTTTGTAAATAAACTTTAATTTATTGTACAACATCTGTACGAAATGCAGCGCATAGCATCTCCTGCCCCGATGTTTATATGGTGTCATAATGTCTGGTCATTTCCTATAACCATCGATTAAAAGGTGGTTATAGGAAACCTCTGATGCCGATGTTTGTTCCTAACACGCCAACGAACAAGTCAAAATCTACTTCTTGGAGGTAAAATTGCGTGACGCATTCCCCGCAAAGATGGGGACAAACTGTTGCCTGATCTCGTGCCCAGAGGCTGAACTCGTGCCCGGGGGTCTGTGAATCGGGCGACCCTATTGGTCGGATGGTTTATGGGATTTGACCTCTCTACTTGTGAGTATTATTCACCACTGGTAAGGCTTAATGCATGGCGTCATAACCAATATGAAATGGGAACTTCTGATCCTGGCTATGTGATAATCTACCTCACAGACGACTATGTAGTATGTGCTTTTAGAATTATATTGGTGGAATTTCTACCGTTTAGGAATGTTTTGAAATATTAATATATCATCTCTGTGTCTACCGCCATGCTGGTGTCCCTATTTGTATTTCACCGAATCACTAAGGTACGATCCAGTGCAATGTAAACAGGGAAACTAAAATGACGGTCAGCAACTGTCTGCCCAATTGGTATGGAAAGCGAGTGACCAGACATTTTTAATCTTCTGTGGAATCCTTTCTCGTGCATTTACTAAGATAACATGCAAAACACTTTCGTGCATCCTCTTATTGAAAATTCATACGTTGAAGCTTCTGTTCATTATTCAAAATGCTGCAGATGATTGCAGTAGATATTGATTATTACCACCCATTGTCAAACATGAATATCAACATTCAAGTCCGTATACATCAGTCGCATATGTAATATCTCTGTACGAAATATGCTTGGTACATTTTGTGGAGAAAGAACATATTCAAAAGGAAAGTGCGTGACAAAGCTCGACAGGTGATTGTGGAATGGACTGTACCCCCTCTTGCATGTATATGAATACATGCCAAGAATGTTGAGTGATTGCTAGCGCTTAGATCAGTGATCTTTTAATATTCTATACACATATCACAGATACACGCCCGGGAATCGTTACATTTAGCATTACAATCGCCATACAATGTTGATGTTATAAACTTAAACATCGTGTGCTACACGCGGGGTTTACTGAAATCCAACGACAGTTAGTTTCAGCATTTTGCCTCATAGGTCATAAACACACGCTTATCACAACAACGGCCAAATGGGAGGCTAGCTGGCTGTAATCCTCATGTCGTATCTTAATGTAAATCTCTGTCTGCCTCACTGCACCTTAAACATGCTCTCTACCACCGGAAAGATCAAAGTTGTTTTAAAGGTTTCATCAAAGACTGGCTGACCTTTAGTATGGTTATGGTTTTATTGAAATATTAGTGTCAGCCCCTAGCAATACAAGAATGGATTTCTGAACGTGTAATGAGGAGTGCGCCACACCAGCAATCGCTGCCGGGTGCTCCTTTTGTATTGCGCCCTGAAAACCCCAAACGAGAGTACGGAGATCTCATACCTCCGTGAATAATACTTCGAGCTTTTGTCAATTATAGTTCAATCCAGTCCACAGGTATGATATCCGATAGATGCGTGTCCATCGAGTTCTCATTGGTGAACAAAAGGTCGTGTTTTGAACGTTCTTGTCGGCGTGGAAACGAGCAACGTTCTGGCACCGACATGTCTGAAAGTTAAGCCCCTGTCACACAGAGCCGAATGTGGCCTCTCGAACACTAGCCGAACTCCAGGATGGCTGGGGGTTGAAGAATGGTTAGAAGTAGGTCCGGAGCAGGGTCGCCTGGGTCGGCTGGTGTTGTCGGAGAGTAGTTGGCAGTGAAATTTGACTCAAATTTAACTCAATTCCGATTCGATTCGTATTAGCGAAAGGTAGGCGTGACCTAAATCTGGCGAGACTGCTCGATCTTTAGCCAACCTTGATCGGCTGGTGTTCCGAATGTGTGACAATGGCTTTACGTAAGTCTTAAAGGTAAGGCTGACATACGGAAAAAAACATCTTCATGTTCACAGAGGTTAAACAATCAGTCACACCGACCAATGGCATAAAGAACGACGGCACGCGCTGTTCTATTACATGTACCCAGAAGCTTATGGCTTGTTGTCATGTTAACATCATTATGTGTAGAGATTGTCTTCCATATGGTTGGAAATTAGAATTCAATCACGAATTTATCAGAAACCTGGAGGTGACGTATAATGAAATCATGTCCTCAAATGATTTAATTTCACACATATGATCGCCTCCAGGACTCTAAAAGACTCCTCTGTTACTAATAAGCAATATCAGGACAAGGGAGAGAAATGTTGTTATTGGAGTGTCTGTCTGTAAGCCTCTGTCTCTCTCTTGGGTGTGTTTAACTTCACATGATACAGTGTTGCTATACATACTGAGTGCTGTTGTTATTGTCTGCGGGACCAAAGATGTCACAGAGCGGCATAGGTAACAGGGTGAAGGTCGCCATCTCTGATTGTTTTTTCTCTACTCCCCTCCATCATCTATTATTATTATCACCCAAACATTTATCACTGAAATCCACAATGACCATAACAGAGGTACATCTTCTAGTAACAAGTTACGAAAGTACCGTTTGTTTAAAACTATATATAAAGAAGAAGAGTACCTATCGGTTAACAACATACAATACAGGATAGCTGCAACAAAACTCCGAATAAGTTGCCACAAATTACTCATAGAAACGGGACGGCATAACCGCATTCCTCTCCAGAACAGACTCTGTCAATACTGTAACATGAATAGAATAGAAGATGAACAACACTTTATTTTAGACTGTACTTTATATTCTAATGAAAGATCTGTCCTTTTTAATTATATCAAAGAGAAGTTCCCATACTTTGAACACCTAAGCGCAAATGATAAATTTATATTTTTGATGCGTCTAGACAAACCCTGTATCACAAACATGATCTGCTCCCACATTTTTCACTGTACAAAAAAGCGAGAAGAAGTTGACCTGTCTGTATTAGCTCAGTGACTAGAACACTATGTATTAGCCTAGTATAGTACCCTTGTATGTTCCTTATGTATGTATGTCTAAGTCAAGTAGTGCATCTTTTGTCTCCAATTTTCTATATACGTTTGTTATGTGTCTGTCATACTCAGTATCTTGACCTGTACCTAGCCCGTCGTGGCATGAATGTACAATAAAGGTATTTCAATTTCAATTATTTGACGCAGGCCTATAGAAAGATGTCAGCCACTTTACAGCTCTTCCTGTCACACGAGCTTGTTTTCTCGCCTGTGAAAGCCGACGCGATATTCCTGTCCAGATCCTCTCTCAAGGGCTCGGAATTAGATGCAAATTGATAGCGCAACCCTTGGTCGGCTGTACACTATACTTCGCTGAATGAAAACGGGTTGCCAGTAAATGATGTACCCTGGGATTACCGTGTCTCGTACATGTTCAAATCCAGACAGAAAGACAGGAGGTCAAGGGTCTAGGAATCTGGCCACATACAGCGTACGATGCACCTAAGATGATATTTTATTTAATTTCCGCGACAATCGGGCCATATGCCATAGGTTTCGATGGAAACTGATACAATAGGTTAATCATTAATAAACTCTTGCACCCGATTCTTCTCAAATCTACAACGTAAATGTGCGGCACCATGATTTAAAAAAAACAACGTATAGGTGCACTGTGCCATGTGTGTGGCCGAGCAGAACAGTCCATACGTAATTGATGTAATTAAGGTACAACTTATTTAGCGAACCCTCTTTTCACAGACTACATGCATGAATAAGGAAGACTTTGGGCTTTTTGGTGAGGTCAGACATAAGGAGATCGTACTATTCTATAGAAAGTATGTAAATGTATGTATGACCCAGGTTTCCATGACAAGGTTTGTAATTTGACCCAGCCTACACAAACCCAAACTGTTACTTAATCGTTTCCGTAACAAGAAGCGTGCTGGGGATTTACCGCCCGGTGCAGTCACATTCTCCGTACAATTTTCGTGCCGTAGAATTTTCCAGCAGGCTGTGACAGAACCAAATGCCGACAAAGATTCAAGACAGGCTTTTTTTTCGTAACTAACGCAGCTAGATTTTGTACTACATGTATGTATGCACGGATATCTCAAG